ATGCTTCATTTGGATGGTTTTTGTGCACCTAAACATTAATCATCACTTCAGTACAAGGAAGCTCAAAAAATTTCCAAAATAATCAGCACCAAACTTGAAGAGAACTTTAGAAATACAAGGAAATTTGCCATAGAATGGTGATGCCATACAAAAAATGCTCCAATACAAAGAACATATCAATACAATATAGGGAATGTAAGATAGAATAGAGGCCATTGGCCTTTCTCCAATTGTTGGCCGCAGAGTCACGCCCTCACGCCGCGGAAGCGATATCACCTGGGAGAGAGCCCTGGCTTTTGTTTTCATAAAAGCACAAATCAACCTCTATATTCTTGTTTCTCAAAGGAAACTAGAATAGAAAGTAAAATATTTCAACAAAGTGAAATATACACTCTTCCTCTCATCAGTTCTAGGACTGAAATATCGAGGGAACCTACGAGCAACGGCAAACCCACAGTTAAGACAATACAGACACGAGATTTACGTGGTTCGGCAAACTTGCCTACATCCACAGGAGGAGGGGGGGTCACTATGAAGAAAATACCAAACTTATACAAGCTCTCTCTTCCTCACTCTTCTCTTTTCCTCCACTCTAGATTTGGATCTAAGGTTAGGGTTTCAGTGGAAATAGAGAGAGATAGAATCGAGAGGATGCTCACGAGAAAAATACATGATGGAGGAGAGAATTGAGAGGGTGCTCGCGAGAAAAATCCATGATGGAGGTGAAAGAGAGAGGTTGGATCTAGGGTTAGGGTTTTGGTGGAGAAGGAGAGAGAGAATCGAGAGGGGGCTCGCGAGAGACAATCGCGCTCAGTCTCCCAATCGTGCGTGAAAGAGTGATAGGGATCACGAAATTGGGAATGACATCAATGTCCGTGTAATTTGAAAGTTATGATTCATTATAGTTTTAAACTTCAAATGGACTTGGACCAAATCCAAATTCTCAATTACTAGTATATCCAAACACTGTAATTGGCTCAATTAAAGAATTTGAAATTAAATCCTTGAATTCAAACAGGCCATAAGATAAATTATCAAAACGCATGTAACCGAATAATTATATAAACTTTTGTTTGTTATTCATTTCCACCACTGAGTGGCTGTTTTTGTTCGCTGCAAAAATAAATTGCAGAGAATATTGAAGCATTTGTTGCCAGAAATCAACTCCAAATTTATGTTTGAATATCTACAATTATATTGTAGGAAATATATTTCCAAATACTTTACAATTTGTTCAAAAACAATCAAGCAAAAGCTTCGAAGTTTTGTCATATAAGTAAATTTGGGAATAGCTAGTTTTTCTGTTTGAATTTAAAAAGCTTTTTTATGAGGTGGAATTATTTAGTATTTGTTATTTTTTTAATGCTCTTTTTTAAATCCTGCAGTTTTTCCTCCCACCGAATTAGCAATAGAACCCACTTTAAATTCCTTCCTCTCTCTCTCTCTCTCTCTCTCTCTCTCTGAAGCATGCAATTTTTTATACAAAATGTAAATCCATTTATATTTTCAAATTACAAAGTTATAAACTAAACAATATATTTTATAAGGAAAATGATTTAAGGACCCAAAATATGGGACCAAGGGAGGGGACATGTGATGTGTCCCCTCCCTATTGCATAATGAATTGGCATGGCCAACTCATTATGCAATAGGGAGGGGACACCTCACTTGTCCTCTCCATTGGTCCCATATTTTGGGTCCCTGTAGCAGCACTCATTTTATAAATCCGGTTGTTCCGTTTGCATTTACGACTTTATTTCAAGCCAGCCAACCAATCCCTGGGAAACACGCACAATCAATATTCAAGCAAGCTTGACATTATTCGGATTGGGTCACACGTCACGTATCTAATTATATTCGGTGGAGTCGGAACGTCGGTCGGATTCATTTGTCGGTGCTTATTAGAACTTGGTTAGATATATAGCATGACATGCACATATCCCTTTCGATTTGCATCGAAGGATACTTTCGAGCTCTTCGGGGAGCATCAAACTGCGAGAGAATGCCAACAAGGCAACAATTATAGAGTATGGTAGTCCGTCAAAATTGCTACGTGTCAGCGAATAATGGCGATAACAACCAAGATGTCGAAAGAAAGTATAAATATTTCAGCTGAGGGATAATGTTGGGCCATTGCATGGGCCTATGCTCACATCTTTGATGAGAAAAGCCTCTGATTCTTTTCTCTCGCGAGAAAGAACGTTTATGAACGATCAACTAATTTCATCTAACCCTTACCCTATATACTTTTTTTGGTTTGTTCAAACTAAATCAAAATCTAAGAATTTTGGACTTTGATGGTCTCTTCTTAGCACCTCTCAAATACGATGATTTAATGCTGAAAAGTCCCAACTAGTTAGTGAAAGGTTATGATTCTTTTTAAAGGTAGAACTGCTAGGATTTGGATATTCTCTATATTCTTAATTGTAGAGAAGCCCTACAATTAGTTATAGCGAATGATATCATCAGCTTATGTAGTGGGTCTCATAATTAATTTTTTAAATAATTTATTTAAACAATATCATTTATAAGGTCTACCGAATGGGAAGATGTAATTGACAAGTTGTAGAAGCTCTCTACAACCAGTTTTAGAGAAGAGTCCCACTAGGGGCACACCATGAACCACACTCTCAATCACACCCCTACACTCTCTATAGTGTTAGTGGGTCATGCATGATATTTTTTTAAAAATATCATGCATGGCCCACTAGCACTATAGAGAGTGTTAGGGTGTGGTTGAGAGTGTGGTTCATGGTGTGCTCCTAGCATTATTTTTTAGAGAATGTATATTTGAACTATAATTGTCAGTAAAATAGTGGACGGTTAACATTGACATTAATTGCAAATAAAAGATCAAATAATGCAGACATCACGATTTATTTCTATACGCACCGCCTACTCGGGATGGAATCCAGCAAACATACGTGTGAAGTTTTGAATTTCCAAATAAATCCAAATACGAGAGAAATAATTTTCAAATTCCAAGTAAGTCCAACTAAATTGCGAGGAAAAAACGTTGTTTCAGCTTTCACCGAATCAATTTACCAAGGTGCCCAAGGACACGGATGTGGCCACTTGCTTGCTACTTGACTCGACCGCGTTGGCTCTGCAACTGCCTCTGTTCTTTCGTTGGAAAAATCCCAACGAAAGAGCAAAATTTATCTCAACAACTTGAAAGCTGCTTCCGTGATTATAGCGGCAGTTAAGATTAGTAAATGAGTTATTGTTGTTTAGAAGAATTGGTCTGTGACTGAGGGATCCAAGCCAGGACATTGACAGACTACGCTTTTTACCAGTCAAATATGCTATTCTACAAGTACAGTCACACAATCCGAATGAACAACATGCAAGTATATTTAATATATATATATATATAATATATATATATATAATATATATATATATATATATATATATTATATAATATATACTAAACGTTAAAGCTATTTAAATATTTAAATGGAAAATTCAAAACCAAAATAAACGAGGAGTTACTTTTAGCAAATTCTTTGAAGCATTACCCACGAAAAGCAATTATAATTAGTTTTCAACTAGTACTTAACTAGTATAAATTAGAACTAACTTTCAAAAAGTGCATACAAGTTACTATTTTAATTATAAAACGGGGAAAGAAAATAAAATTTTATATGCACTTGAAGCCCAATAATTCCTCCTCATGAAAAACGTAGTCGCCTCGTCCATGATTGGACCTGTTGTCAAATGATGTTCTCCCCCCCCCCGCCCCCCCCCCCCTTATCTCCCAATTATTGAAGGTATATATGCAGTACCCTCCAAGACCCCAAGTGTAGCCTGACTGCGGGGCAAAAAAGCTCCAACTTGTGCCATCATCACTCTATCTTTTGCACGCCACTTGGTCTCTGTTGATGCTTAGTTAACAAGACATAGCATCAGCTCGAAACTCAACTTTTTTGGCTACTTGCATTGTGAAAGATATATCTAGTGATTCTCCATTGCATTGCTTCAATAAAGAAGAAAGGAGTGTAACTATACGTTGGTACTATATATAAATTAAATTCCAGCATCTCTAAGATAATTAGACTTGTGCATGTTGTTACAATTCATGAATTACTCTGCTTGTAGTATAAAATCTAGTCTGTGTTAATCTGAAAGTACCCACATGCCATCGAGCTAAAGAGTGTAATTTTCAAACCAACCAACACGGAAGTGGGAAGTATTATTAATGTTCTTCGAACAAGGGGGGAAAACACAAAGTTTTCCAAATTCATCTTATGCCCCCGTTTTCCATATGTCTGTTTTTTTATGTGATTTTGTTTGTACATGTATTTAATTTGAAGAACATTGAATATGAATTGTTAGACAGTGCCTTATATTTGTATTTGTATCTGTGATTAATAAACAAATATAAATATGAATATGCTAAGTAGTATATGTGATCAACTTTAACCAGATTTTAGCTCTTCCATATATTGTTATCATTCAAAAATAATGCTAAATTCCTCAAAAAAAAAAAACAGCAAATTAGTTTTTATTAAAGCCGACTTGTGTCCAAAAAAAAAAACAAATTAGCTTCATTAACGTCGCTCAGAATTTTAACTTTTCATATCAAGTGCTAAGAGCATCTCCAACAGCTTCCACATCTTCTTGAAATACTCAATTTTGGGGAATATAGAGTTTTTTTTTGTCCAACAGATTCCTCATCCCATTCCCCAAAATAAGGAAGGAATAGAAAAATAAGGAGTCTTCCCCAAATCTGCAGCATTCTCCAAATTTTTAGGGAGAGCTTTATTATTGTAATAAATGCGATTTTTTAAAATAGGAAAGCTGTTGGAGTTGGAGCAAAAATAATTTAAAAAATATGACTTTTGTTTCTTTATTTTGGGGAAAATTTTAGAGAAGCTGTTGGAGATGGTCTAATAACATCGTCCGCTTCCCATGAAAAGTCCATCTCAAAAATAAAACCACACCAATATCTCGCGCTACAGTGCCTTTCGTAACTTGACGACAATAAAGACAGCCCAAAAAGAAAAAGAGCTCAGCACATCACGTATTATCATCATCATAACCATGACAGTAACTCCTAGCAAAAACGATCAAGGTGCGCCCAAAACAGTTCCATATTGTTCTCACTGTACATTTCTATTGTTTTTTATATACAAAAAAATAACGCAATCAATCTCGTTCCGGTGCCTCGCGGAACAACAAAAAGTTTCATAAATATCCTTTTTCCCTCTCTTTTTAACCTCGACTCGTCCGCGGATCAACGGACCGGCGATCTCATGGAATATTCTCCATTCTTCTCAACAAAACGAGAGTTTCGCTTCGACTTCATCCATTTCATCTCACTCTTGAATCACACACAGATCCGTCACAAAATTACGGCCTCTGCCACTTGAGGCCCTCTTCGATCTCCGTCTCATCTCCGTCACCGTCTTCAACATCTCCTTCTTCTCTCCAACGCCAAAAACTAACGGCCGTCCATTCATCAACGCTGCGCTCGCTTTAACTGCAAGCGCTGCGAGCTCTTCAGCGTGAAGAGGTTTCTTAAGCATCGATCTCGGCAAAACGAAGTAGATCTGGCCTGGATTCAACTCATCGTCAGATCCGACGGCTGAGATGAATCCGTCGAACTCCATCTCGTCGGCGTCGCAGATGAACCACTCAGAGTTCTTCTCGATAATGCTCGAAACCCTAATTGGACGATCGAATTCTTGGAGGTCGCCGGAGGCGAGGATCAGCTTCCCCGTCGCCGCCGGGCCCACCGCCGTCGCCTCGCAAGATGCACAGCCTCCCATTTTTTTCCAGGTAAAGAACTATTTTTTATGTTTTATTTCGATTTTGGATATTTTGCGCTCGTTATGATTCGTCTTGGCTTGAATGTTTGGTGGGGATGTGAAAGGGGGGAGATGGTTTTTATAGTGGGAGAGGGGGATTCTGATGACAGGCTGTAAGTTGGTGATGCCTGGTTGGAAGGCGGGACGGAAGAGGAGGGGTAGAATTGGAAGTGTAGGTCGAGCTTAGAGGAAACTACGGAGTGGCATGTTTAGGGGCGATGGGTGCTAATCAAAGCCACGCATGGGGAATAGTAGACGACGGATTTGCCTTAGGGTTATTAATAGCGATGGGACGGGGAGAGGTGACGTCATTTATTTTGGACTCTGTGGGCCAAAACTAGAAGAGCTTACGTTGCTTTTTACTATCTTTACTAGCAAAAATGCTATTTGTCTGGCAGCCTCCCATGGCGTACGCATCATGCAAGGGAGAGAAATAGGGGTGGTACGCATCGCGCAAGGGAAAGAAAAGGCGGTGGGACCCACCCCTATTTTTCTTCCGAGTTTTGCTACAAAGATCCAAAATATGGGGCTAATAGGGGGGACAAATGAGGTGTCCCCATATTGGATAATGAGTTGAACATCATTAATGATTGTCAACTCATTATCCAATAGGAGGGGGACACCTCATTTGACCCCCCTATTGGTCCTATATTTTGGGTCCTTAAAGAATTTTTCTCTCTCTCCCTTGTGCGCGATGGGGGCTGCGAGACATATAGCAACGCCTCCTTTATCAGCGTGCACCCCATGTAAAGCGCGGCTCATCATTTTTTTTATTTGTGCTACAGTAATCTCTTTAAAATGTTACAGTAATTCTTTTTTAAATGCTACAGTTTTCTCTTTGTGCTACAGTAATATACTATAGTAATTTGCTGTATCAATTATTGCAACATGAATATTGAATCTTTTAAGCCTCCTATAAATATAGAGGAGTAGATATTGTGTTTTCTATGTACTAGAAGTAATTAATAGAAAAAATTTTCAGCTAGATGACACTTGAATGCTCGATTTTTTCACAGTTTTTAAGTTTAAATATTTTAAGTTATAAAAAACAACATTTAAATATCTTGAGTTTTCTACTGTGCGGTTAATAAACATACTATGATAAAACCATCCCTCAATAAAATTTAATATAAAATTTAATAAAAAGATATGATATATGTGTAGTGGTATTAAGAATGACAACAAATAAAATTTTATAAAAAGATATAAGATATGTATAATGGTACTAAAAATGGCAACAAACATGGTCAATACAATAGTGCTAAGTATATGGGAGTATTCCTACTAATATTTCTATATGCAACTAACAGAAGGTACTAACATACCGGCTTTTTTCTAGCTTATGTTATTAAAATACTATTTTTTACCAAATTAGAGTATGAAAGTGTTGCTTTTAATAACTTGGGGTATTTAAGCGTAAATGTGATGAAATAATAGGATATGTAAGTGCCATTTAGCCATTTTTTTCTAAAGAAACTTATAAATTGAAATAGGCTAAATTGTACTTATAATTTCACTTAGCACTTATGTACTCTCACTTGATTTTTTTAGCATTTATATGTACTAAGTTGTTAAAAATTGATATGTTGATATTCGCTATCGTATAAATGTGAAAATTTTCTCTTGAATATTCATATATGATATCAATAGGCTAACCACAGAGCTTTCTTACCATTAATATTTGTAAAATTGTTAAACTGATCCTAACACTACTTAAAAATAGAATTAAAATGCAGCTAAAATAGAATTTTAATACGTTCAATTATAAATTCAATAAAATTTAGTACTTAAAAAGCTCTATAATTAGTTTATAAGTATTATAGAGAAACATTTAGAAAAAAATTTCACAATTGCATAATTAAAAATATTAATATTTTAATTTTAAACAAGTGAGAATGCATAGATACTATCAAAACAGGAAGGATATACGAACACTAACTGAGTGAAATTCTAAAGAACTTTGCTACATGGACCTATGATAGCCAGCTCATTATGCAATAAAAAGGGGACAGCTCACATGTTCCCTTATTGGTTCCATATTTTGAGTTTTTGGAGAATTTTTCAACTCTAAAACATTTAAGTGAATAACAGGCATTGAAATTTGTATGGATATTTTAATGACGGTCGAGGTGTGTTGAGAGTATGGGGACAGTGATGAGGTGAGCAAAATTGGTCGCTTCGTGTGCCTTTTTGAGAGGCAATGTACGGTGACATCGAATTCGTTGGGAGCGTTGATGTTTTTGTTATGGGCACTGTATAGTTAGTGTGACGGAGCAATGCGTCGTAATTTGTCTTTGTTTTAGCGTTCGATAAATGGGTGAATTATTATTGAAGCGGATAAACAAAGAGGCAAGATAGGAGCTTCACTCACTGTAGGCTCGAGGAATCTTATTTTAAGGTTCAAAAAATTGTTTATGAATTGAAATTTTTACTTATTATGTAAAGCAGTTATAGGGTGTGATTTGTAGAAACAACAAAAATATTGGAGAAGATCTGGAAAAATAGAGCATACAGGCATTTAGACGTTTGCATGTCAACCGTGACGATTTCGGCGGTCGACCGCCAAACCATGTAATTGTTTATTGGTTTCTGTCGTTCTGACCGGTCGACCGCAGCGTCAAGTACGGTCGACCGCGCGTCGGGTTTGGGCCTGATTTGGGTTTCCTGGTGTGTTTGGGATTGGTGTTTGGTACAAATACCAACACACGTTTTAGGGTCTTTTTGGAGTAGTCAATGAGATATTTTGAGCACAGAAAAGAGAGATTTTTATGAGCTATTGGTTAGGGTTATTGTTTGAGAGATTGAGAGCTTTGTTGGTGAGATTAGTTGGTTTGTTTTGAATGATTTGTAATCTCAGTTTGTACTCTCCTTTTCTATTAGTGAAAAACTCATCCCCCTTGCCCTGTGAACGTAAGTAACTTGTCGAACCACGTAAAAATTAGTTGTTTGTGTTTGTAGCATTACTTTGGTTTGTTTGGCCTTCTCTCTGTGTTTGTTTTGGTTCCTCGAAGCACATCGGTCTTGGCTTCTGCGCACTTCAAGTGGTATCAGCGTACAACAAGTAGTATCAGAGCACAACAAGTGGTATCAGAGCTTGGGCTACACTTGAGCTAACTGGAGGAGTAGATCGCTATGGAAGTTCGTTTAGCGCTTCGTTTGGTGATAAAGATGAGATGTTTACTATTGTGGATCTTGTCTACCATCGTGTAGGAGTGAGATCTTTTGGAGGTCCTTGTTAGGGTTTCGGTTAGAGATAAAAATCTTTCTTTTTTAGTTTGGATCTATTCTTCGTTTGTTCCACATTATTTGTTGGTGCTTTGAGGAAGATGACTGAGAAAGAGGATTTGAGGCTGGGTTTATTCGATTATTGATATTGTGCATGTATTGTTGAGGAGTGCTTTGACCTGAAATTTGAAGTATTGTGAGCTCATTGGTATGAGTAAGAAGACCGAGATAGAGTTTGACACTTCTATTCACTGGGCAAAGGGTCTTCTAGGTGGTGTTCATTCAGGCATTTGGGGGCCTTCCAAGGAGACATCATTGGAAGGTATTCAATATTTGGTTTCTTGCGTTGGGGACTGTTCTAGGCTTTTGTGGGTTGCAACCAAGTCTCGTTGGTATGAAGTCCTAGAATTCAATAACAGTTGGATGAAGTGTATTGACGGAAAGGTAACACGACGTTCTGTTTTTCGTAGAGGTTCTTCTCTACATTTGTGCCCAGCTCATGACAGCTTGAGACACTTCATTGGAGAGGAAACATTGGGGCGACGAGATGAGATGACAATTTTGATGGATCATTCCTTGCTGGAGGAGGATTGACATGAGTTGTCGAGCGTTGGATTACAGAGGAGTTTTGGAGCTTCGACATATTTGGGTCATCTTAGTTATAGGTTGCCGACTGCTGCGTGTGGAGATTTTGGATCTGGTGGAGCTGTTTTAAATTTTAGGTTGCGTCAGATGTTTGGTTGCCCAGCATTTGGTCACATCGAGAATGTGAGATTTGATCCGATTACACATTTGGGATTCAGAGTCTCGCTTGATTATCGGTTGAGAGACTCTGATTTTATTCTGAACAGGTATGTCACAATTAACTCTCAGCAGGTGGAGAGTGTTGATCAGATCGTTGGGATATCACAGCAGGTAGAGTGTGATGCTACTTCACGTTGGGTGGAGATTACTCTACATACTCCAGATCATACTATATCGTTTGGGATTCCAGCTGAGATGACATAGTTTAGGGATCATTTGGATTTGGATACAGATGATGAGATGGTTGATTCGAGTGCAGCTGGTAGACATAGTTTCGATTTGGATATGACCATTGGTTCATCTCGGGTGAAAGTTCTTATTTTGTTTTATTTTGGGGCCATTGGGAGAGCTATCAGTTGCAGATTCGTTGGTGATGTTAGAGAAGACTTGCGAACTCTTCTATTTGATTGAGGGTATTTGGAGGCTGTTGGGTGAACTATGTGAAGGCTTGATTCCTTGGGCAAGAGGATACGTAGGCAGTCATTTATGATGCAGCTGATTTGGTGAGTAGACATCGATGTTTGGAGAGTGATCACATTCTCATTTGGGTTTTCAACTTGTTGTGGATTGAGTCCGTTGTCGTGGTTTTTGTTCCACTTCGTACTGGACGCAAAAAGTGAGATATTTGATTGATATTAGTGTCGGCTCAGTTTTTAAAAAACTTCGCCGATGTGAAGAATTGTAGAAATGACAAAAACATTGGAGAAGATCAGAAAAAATGAAGTATACAGGCATTTAGACGCTTGCCAGTCGACCGCGAGACAAGTTGCGGTCGGCCGCAAACATGCACGAGTATAAGCAATTTTGGGAGCTTTGGCCAGTCGATCGCGACGATTTCGACGGTCGACCGCCAAACCCTGTAATTGTTTATTGGTTTCTGTCGTTCTGGCCGCTTGACCACGCGTCGGGTTTGGGCCTGGTTTTGGTTTCCTGATCTGTTTGGGATTGGTGTTTGGTATAAATACCAACACACGTTTTGGGGTTTCTTTGGAGCAGTCAAGAGGATATTTTGAGCACAGAAAAGAGAGATCTTTCTGAGCTATTGGTTATGATTATTGTTTGAGAGATTGAGAGCTTTGTTGGTGAGATTAGTTAGTTTGTTTTGAATGATTTGTAATCTCAATTTGTACTCTCCTTATCTATTAGTGAAAAACTCCTCCCCCTTGCCTCATGGACGTAGGCAACTTGCCAAACTACGTAAAAATTGGTTGTTTGTGTTTGTGGCATTACTTGTTTATTTGGCCTTCTCTCGGCGTTTGTTTTGGTTCCTCGAAGCACATCGGTTTTGGCTTCCGCGCACTTCAAGTGGTATCAGCACACAACATGTTTGATGACTCATATAAAACCGCATCATGACTGATCCTAGCCTAGTTTTATCTCAAACCAGTTTTAGGTTGGATCATGATAGGGGTGGTCCAAACTATAACTGGTTTAGTAGCCACTATTTAGCCTAAAAACCAAGTCAGAATTTACCCGATTTTTTATTAAATAGAAAATAGCTCAAATTTGGGCCAGCTTCAGTCCTGGCTAGTTTGAAAAGATTTTCA